GTGCCAAATTTTGTCTCGGTTATTTTTTTATTGTTGTTGAGACAAATATCTGACGCCCAAAATTAAGGAAGGAAAGGTTTATTTTGCTTACAGTTTGTGGAGGTTTTAGTTTATATTCGGCTGGTTTTAAGGCAGAGTGGCAAATGGCAGAAGGCAACAGTTCATTGGCCTGGAACAGCAAAGCAACAAGAGCAAAGGGAGGCGCAGCAGGGAAGAGCAAGCCTCTTTCCCTCTCTTATATTGTAGCAGGCTGCCCCCCCCCCAGGGTCCTGTAGCTCTCACATAATCTCCAGGCCCTCCTCTTGCACAGGCTCAGGATGTATACAAAGTAAGCACCCTGGCTCCCTGCTGAGTCACACAGTTAACCTTCTAAACTTCCCAAATTGACACAATGAATGACGTCCTAGAGCAGGAAGGACATGTCCTTTTTGCCCCAAGATGTAGAACTGCTGAGTCACTTAGCCAAGCCTCTAGAATCCCCAAGATGACACAATGTATCAACCGTAACAGACTTCAACCACATTCCAGAAAGGTCAGACCTTAGTACAGTATTGTCAAATCACTTAGAGCAATAGATAGCAAAATGTAGACCTCAAGCATTCTTGTAATTATGATGTCAGCATTCTAGTCCTAATAAAGTTTTATTGAAGTCTGTATGAAGCTATCTATGTTCAGTGTGAGCTGTGAAACAGCCCCTGGGGTGGATGAGGGCAAAGCTTTAGGAGACAATGAAGCATTTGGAATTGATATCATAAAAACCCTGGGAGCATTTCACCGGGCATCTGTCTACTAAGATGCTTTTAGTTTAAACTGGGGCACACACTGAACATCTGTGGTTCAGTGATAATTCTATTTATAATGATGGCACTAAGATACTGCAAACTCCTACTGAACTCTTGAAATAAGTTCTGAATCAAAAATACGAGAAATACAATTTAACTACTTAACAGTTTACTCTGAGCATCACTCCGGCAGGCGTCCTTTCAGCCAGCTGATTCTTTTTTTTTTTTTTTTTTTTTTTTGAGACAGGGTCTCACTATGCAGTTCAGGCTGGCCCTGAGCTCACCTTGTAGCCTAGACTGGTCTCAAACTTGCAACAATCCTCCTGCCTCAGCCTCCCAAGTGCTGGGATTATAGGGGTGAGCCACCATAACCCAGCTAGCCAGTTGATTCTTGTATTGAACAAATTTGATAAAATTATCATTTTTATATTTCCTGTCATACCATCTTATAAAAATTACTAAAAATGCAATATTTGGACATCATGTATTTAAATAATTGGACTGGTAAGTGTGAGAGCTTTTTTTTGGCTGTATTTCTTAAAGGGAATTCTTACAGATTAGAGGTTCTGTTCAAGATGAGGACAGAGTGAATTTAAATCTGATTTTTCCATTTTTTTTTTTTTAATCTGAATGACTTTGAGCACATTACCTATCCTCTGTTAACCTTAATCTTCCCATCTGTAAAATGGGGATACCACTATAGGGATTAGTGAAAAAACACAGTGAATGCATGGCGCTGCCAGACACAGGGGTGCACACCTATAATCCCAGCACTTGGGAGGCTGAGGCAGGAGGATCACTGTGAATTCAAAGCCACCTGGGCTACAAAGTGACTTCAAGATCAGCCTGAGCTACACAGTGAAACCCTGTCTCAAAGAGGAGAAAAAAAGAAAAAAGCAAGCATGAGTGCAAGGACATTTCCCTAGTCAACTGGCGAGGATCAAAAAGTTTAGAAACACACGTGTTGGTGAGACTTTGTCAGAGGCAGGAGCCCTCACGCAGTGCTGGGGGCTGTAAGCACCACACAAAACCGTGTGGCAATACCTCTCAAAGTTAAACTTGAATGGCACATACATACTTTTGACCAGCAGTGCCTTCTATTAGAATTCACCAAAGACGTACTTGCAGATGAATGGATGGGTACCTATACGTGAATATTTACTGCAGTAGTTTATAGTAGGGAAAGAACGGAATCAAAGTCTCCTTCTAAAGGATCTGTTTTGATGGACTCAGATAATTGAATACCAGGCTTAAGAAAGAAAGAAAGCATTTATGTTATGGCATAGGACAATATAAAGAGATATTATTAAGAATAAGAAGAAGGGGCTGGGGATTTAGCTCAGCGGCACAGCGCCTGCCTGGCAAGTGCAAGGTCGTGAGTTCGATTCCTGGTACTGGAAAAAAAAAAAAAAGAAGAAGGAAAGTATGTAATAGTGTAAAAATAAGATAGGGAGAAGGTAATACACGTGCTTTTTAAAAAGTGTCTTGCAAACGCCTTTCCCCCGGTGGAAAAAAAAACCAGAGCTTTGCATTTGCTAGGCAAGCACTCTCTGATTACGCTACAGCATACATACGTTTATTTTCTTGTATAATTACAGAAATGCTGTAATGACAGAAGAAAACAGCAGCATTGATTTCTTTTAAACCTGGAATTTGGTGGCTGGCTAGCCAGAAAATTTATATATATATATATTTTTTGTTTGTTTGTTTGTTTTTTGTTTTTTTCTTTCTTTTTTTTTTTTGAGACAAGGTCTCCCTATGCAGTTCAGGCTGGCCTTGAGCTCACTTTGCAGTCCAGGCTGGTCTCAAACTCACAGCTGTCCTCCTGCCTCAACCTCCCGAGTGCTGGGATCACAGGCATGCACCACCACACTTGGCTATATTATTTTTAATCACCTGACTACACTTTGTAAATGTATAGCTAATCTTACAAGGCTGGATGAATATAAAGGGTTTAGAACACTCATGACAGAGTATGCATACAATAAATCGTAACAGATTTCAAATTTTAACTTTATGGTAATGATTATCTGCCATGAAAATAAAGATGTCTAGAGAATTTTTAATTAGCTGTTTAAAAATGTAAATACCTCCAGGCATGGTGGCACACACTTATAATCCCAGTATGTGGGAGGCTGAGGCAGGAGGAACACTAAACTTCTAGGCCAGCCTGGGCTACACAGTGAGCCAAGACTAACCTGAACTGCATACAGAGACCCTGTCTCAAAAAACAAAGCAACCAAACCCAACCAAACCAAAAAAACTGTTCACAGATATTCAAGAAGAAATGAAAATACTGAACATCCCTTATATTTACTTACTTATGGTTGAAGGGTGTTTATAGTTCTGAATTTCAATTTTTTTGGTTTTTCTCCGGTACCGGGAACCAAACTCACGACCTTGTGCTTGCCAGGCAGGCGCTTTGCCGCTGAGCTAAATCCCCAGCCCCTCAAGAAATTTTAGATTGAGAATAAATGGAGAATTCTTCTCCCACTTACCATATAATTAGTCTTCTCAGTCAACTTCCTGTCTAGGTTTCTCTGATCATATGTTCTACTTGTAACACCCTATTTTATTCTGCCCCACGCTTCGGTAATAACAGGCTGTCTTCTCGCTGTGGGTTTTAATTTCTTAGACATGCACAATTCTTAGACATATATTTTCCAGAATTGAAGACTCAGATCAAACGGCGCCTTGCCTGTGATGTTAGACTTCTAAGGTCGGACGTCCCACTTTTCTCCCGCACCATCTTGACTTTGCAGACAGATTACCGGGCGTACTACACGGCTCCGTTCCTTCAGTAAGCAGTCATCCCGAAGCACCAGCTCCGTCTCTCGTCGTTATAGCTGCATGCAGGGCCTAGTGAGTAATCAGGTGCTCAATAAAGTCTTCTGAGTAGAGACCCCATTTCTTCTCCTTACACAAGAGACACTGTAATGAAATTGCTTGAGTGATATGAGCACTGTGATACTTGGACACTGAATCAAATAAGATGCAAATCAAGAGAATTTGAGTTCTTACCCAGCACATCTCAAGAATCAGTATGTGAGGACCGGGGACAACGCCCGGCGGCGCAACGCCTCGCTTGGCCGGCGCAAGGTCTTGAGTTCGATCCCCAGCACACACAAAAAAACAAAGAATCAGTATGTGAGCTCGGGGTGTAGTTCAGTGGCAGAATGTTTGCTCAGCACTGCAAAGATGAAAATTGAAAATACAAGTGCTCTCCTGTCAATCCTGTTGAAAGTCCTACGTTGGCTTGCAGTTGCTCCCGGGCGTGAATCCTGAGCCCTCCGCTCCTCACAAAGCGTCCCGCCAGTCAGTGAGCCCCGACTGACGCCTTGCCCTTAACTGCTTCCGCTCGGTATAGCCCTGCCGCCAGGATGTCTGTGCTGTGCGACTTGGCTTCTTTTGGCTCAGTCCCTGCCCGGAATCAGGGAAGTTCACGGGGTTCCCGAAAGACCGGCATCGAGTCTCTAACCGCTTGCGCAATGAATAGCAGGAAATTTGTATCAGTTTTCATTTTCTGTGTAAAAAACATGTGCCTCTGCTTACATCTTAGAGATATAAAACATAGAAGCCTAATCCATTTTATCAGATCAGCTCAAAGCCCAAATATATAAGGAGAAAAGAAGTCTAACGTTAATGTCAGAAGGGGCTCGAAGGCCCTGTCTATATCATGATATGTTATTTTATTTTTTGGTAGTGGGAATCGAAGTCAGGGCCTTGTGCTTGGCAGGTGCTGTGCTGCTGAGCTACGTCCCCAGCATTTTGAAAACATTTTTTTGTGTGTGCTACTGGAGACTGAATTTGAATCCAGGGCTTTCACACTGAGCTCTGCCCCAGGCTCTTTCATTTTTTGAGTTGAGCCTCCCTAGGCTGGGCTGGAGCTTGCAGTGCTCCTGCCTCTACAGATATTTACGTGTAGGAAGTCTGCTAAATTTGAGCGGTGAGACTACTCAGAGTTCTTGCCCAGTGTGTTGTGAGGCCCTGGGTTCCATCCCCAGCACTGAAAAAAAAAAATTGTTAGATATTTTTATTTTCTTTTTTTGTCTTTTTGAGACAGGGTCTTGCTATGCAGTTCAAGCTGGCCTTGAGCTCACTTTGCAGCCCAGGCTGGTCTCAAACTCACAGTGATCCTCCTGCCTCAGCCTCCCGAGTGCTGGGATGACAGGCATGCGCCACCACGCCCGGCCGTTAGATATTTTTCTATTGCATGGTTAAACAGCTTTAGAATCACACTGAGGAACTTTTTTAACCTTGCTAACCCATATTGGTGGAGTAAGTGAAGTAACAGAACAATGTTATCCACTTTACAGCGTCACTTGAGGATTAAATTAAAAAAAAAAATAAATGTAAAGTAGTGCGTCTTCCAGAGCCGGCACATAGTAAGGATCCATCGCAGGTGGGAGGTTTTTATTTTTTCCCCAGTGCTAGGGTAGGGGCTTGTTTTGTGACAGTCCCCAAGTCATTTTTCAGGACGGCCTTTTGGGTCAGTGTAATCTTTTTCTTTGGAGTTAGGAAACACTGAGGGTTTCCACAAATTTATCCCTGGTGTGGTCCTGCCTGATCGGGGCAGACGCACATCTTGCAACCAAGCACAGTTAAAGGAAAATGACTTTACTCAGAAAATCGGCATGTTGCTGTGTATTACGAGCCGTCTCCTTCCGTTTCTGCTGTAAACTGACCATCGATTTCCCTTCTTCTGCCAGGTCGAGCAGCTCCTAGATGAACAGCCTTGTCCTGTCAGGAGAACGCAGGGCACTGGTTCGGCCAGGGGAATTTCTGCTGTTTGCAGAGACTGCTGTCCCCTGGTGGCTTTCACTGTCTCAGACACGGTCAAGCTCCTTCCACCGCAGACTTAGCAGGCAGAGCCCAGGAGTGGTTCCTCCATCCTGCCCAGTAATTGTCACTCTCCCGGACTCAAGCTGGGGGTCCACAGTGAAGAAGCGCCCCTTCTCACAAGCAGCCACCTCAAGGCCAGGCTTCCTCTAGGTGCAGAATCATTTTGTCTCCTTAAAGAGTTCCGTGTTAGTAGCTCAGACCTGTAATCCTAGCCCTCAGGGAGGCTGAGGCAGGAGTTCAGGTCCGACTAGGCCATTTAGCAAAAATTTGTCTCAAAATTAAACATTTGATTATCATTACCATTATTTTATTTATTTTTTTTTTTGGTTTTTCTCTGGTACTGGGAACCGAACTCACGACCTTGCGCTTGCCAGGCAGGCGCTTTTGCCGCTGAGCTAAATCCCCAGCCCCATCATTACCATTATTACTGTTATTGCTGGCCGCAGAACTCAGGGCCTTGTGCATGCTAGGCAGATGCTCTCTCACCGAGCTACATCCCCTGTTTGTTTGTCTTTTGTCTTTGTGAGACAGGGTCTCACTATGCAGTTCGGGCTGGACTTGAGCTCACTTTGTAGCACAGGGCTGGCCTCAAACTCTCAACAACCCTCCTGCCTCAGCCTCGCGCGTGCTGTGATTACAGGCATGTGCCACCTCCTCCAGCTCTCCTGTTTTAAAAAGGCTGGGTAACTCTGTAATGTTTGCACTGTTCCTATGCTATTTTGTAAATGGATGTATGTTTATTACTATGTGTTTCCTACAACCATTGAGAATAGTCAATGAATATTCAATTGCTCACTCATGGATAGCTCCATTAATTTTCTTTAGAAACCACTTTGAAGATACGAAAGTATACTACAACCATTGATAATAACCTACCACTTTTGTCTGTAGCTCACTATTATTTGTCTATTTGTTTTCCTGAAAAATTATCTTGTAGATAACAATATGTAAAACAACAACCATTGATGATTTCCTACCAGTTTGTCTGTAATTCGGTAAGTCCCCCTATTACTATGTTATCCTTCTTTTACTCTTTAAAATAATAAAAAAAAAGGCTGGGAATATAGCTCAGGGGCAGAGCACCTCTGTGTTAAATACCCCAAAACCAGAACAAAGCCAAAAAAAAAAAAAGAGTTCGGTGTTAACCTCTTTTTGGAGTCCCTGGTTCCCCACCAGAGCCTGACTGAGGAGAGGATCCTGGAGTCTTCCCCGGCCGGCTGGGTGTCCTTCTTATCACTACCTTGGACCAAGTAGCTGGGTGGCACTTTGGGCTTGTCCTGGGGAGGGCCTGGGGGTCTGCACCCTACGCCCATGGCTGGGGGGTCCACTATCACCCCATGTAAGGGACAGAAACACTACACCACTACTGAGGGCTCAGAGCACAGGTCCCCTCGTCCAGGTGACACCACGCCCCACGCCAGAAGAGATACAGGCGGAGCTCGGTTCTCCCGCTCCACCCCTCGCCAGGCCCACGCTGGCGTCAAGAGTGTCCACCCCGCTAGCTCACTGTCAGGACAGGCTGCCTGCTGTCTGGACGGCTTCTCCTTTCACTAGAGATCCACTTTTGTGTGGTTCTTGAAAGCTAGGATTCTTTTATTTGGTTTGCTTCGAGGTATGACAGTTTATGCAAAGTGTTATCTTATTGTGAAAAATCTAGAGGGTAACATTTGGATTAGTCTTTTACACCTAGAAACCTGTGTAACAGGAAGATCCCATTTCTTTTTCCTTCCAAGAATGCAGAGGCACCCGGACAGCACCTTTGCAGTTTTAACTTTCATCTTGAAATATGCTGACATTAATATAATGAACTACTAGCGATTTGTGTAATAACGCTGCTTACACTGTTCAGTGCCTACCGTGTGTCCGATATTAAAGCACCTTTTTAATCGTTAAGGCTCTGGGAGGTGTGTTTTTATACTGACTTCCAGGTGAGGAAGGCAGGCACAGAGAGGCTAAGTAATTTGTCCTCATCAAAACGCAGAAGCCAGGGCCTGTTAGCGCTGCATCTGAACTCCAGAAGTCTGACCGTAGAGCAGAAACGCGAGATTACCTTCCTAGTTGGTGGGAATATAGCTCATGGTAGTCACAGGAGGCTGTGGGAGGAGAGTGACGATTCCTGGACTAATCAACTAAAGGCTGACTGCAAGCTAGAAGACCAGAAGAGACACTTTAACGTGAACTTGTCGTGGTGACACGGGTGTGCAGCCCAGACACAGGCCAGGTCAGATTTTGACTCTCCAGGGCATCAAGGCACACAGGAGCTTTGCCGTGGGCTGTCCCAAGTCTTCAGGGAACCACGGCAAACCAACCACATGGAACTGAAGGACCTAAGAATCAGCATTTTACGTTAATTTTAATGAGCTGAAATTAGGAGCATGGAGCTCTGAGGCAGGGTCTTCTCAGATTAGATCTAGAGACCCACACAAGTGAGATTTCTCATCATCTACAAACCTCCCAAAGCCCTTAGCATTCCATATAACTCATCATTCGTTCATGCAGAAACGTTTATGGGGCACCTACCAGGCACCAAGAACTGCTAGACGTGCCGGGGATAGAGTTAATAAAAACAGGAGATTCTTGTCAGCACGGAGCTTAATTTTAGTGAGGAGATCAGTGAACTAAATGAGGGAATAATTCGTGTATTAAAAAGAGAATGCCCTGGAAAAGTAAATTACAGCCTCCCTACAAGAATAGCACCATTGTTCCTTTTCCTGTGTACCCCCTGGAAAACGTGGGCTGAATTAACACCCAATCTGAAGACCTGGAAAAAGACACAAACCGGAGTAAGACTTCGGGTTCAAACTGCAAGCAGGGCTTCAGACTCACCTGCGGCAGAAACCCCAGCTTCTCTTGAGGGAGCTCCCCGACACTTTTCCTGTCTGTAGCTCTCCAAACACCGTTTTCCCCGCTCCCTCCTTACCGATTTTCCTTGCCACGCACACTCCTGACTCACTCTGCTGGTTTCTGATCTTCAGAAAGGTCCCTGCTCTCCCTGCTGCGGCTGTGTGCTGAATGCAATCGTACCGTCCTCCTAGAGCAGCAATGACGTCACAAGAGGGCTACTCCGCAGCTTCTCCCTGGCGGGCTGGAACATCCGGCCAGGGAAAGGTAAGCACTGTTTTCTCATCGTATCTTCACCATTCGGAATGGTGCTTGGCATTCGGGAAAGGAAGGGGTAATGAGTGCTGTGTACATGCAACAAATCTCCATGACGAACTTACGCAAACGTGTACTGACAAAATAAACATTTGAAAACGATGCATCAAATTTTTCTAGGCGTCTCTGTGGACATGCTTATGTGTATACACATGTTGGCAGTGATGGAACTTTACGATTACATGGAAAAATTGATCAAGCCTTTGATGATTTGTCCTGAAGTTTCTTTTTTCTTTTTTTTTTGCTAATGGTGTTTTGCTAGTTTAATTAAAAATGAGGTAACAAGCACCTGGTAATACACAACTGGACGGTTCTTTCACTATTTATTTATTTATTTAACTGGGCATTGAACTCAGGACCCTGACACTGAGGTACATCCCCAACCCTTTATTATTTTTGAGTGAGGGTCTAAATTGCCCAGGGTGGGCTTGAAATTGTCATCCTACCTCAGCCTCCCAGAGTGCTGGGATTACAGACATGCACAACCACACCCAGATTCTTCTTCTTCTTCTTTTTTTTTTTTTTTCCTTTTTGAGATATGGTCTTGCTATGCAGTTCAGGCCGGCCTTGAGCACACTTTGTAGCTCAGGCTCATCTTGAACTCACAACGATCCTCCTGCCTCAGCCTCCCGAGTGCTGGGATGACAGGCGTGTGCCACCACACCTGGCCCAGATTCTTCTTTACTTTTTAAAATATTATGAAAAATTTCAAATATAAAAAATTAGAATAGTGCAATAAACCCGACATAATATTTAAAAAACCTAGCCATCTTTTTGACCAGTTTTATTTCGTTCACAACCCCACCTGCTCACCTGACCTAACCTTATTTTAAACGAACCCAGATACCAGAGCATTTCACTGTCATAGTGATTTTGCAGTGCTGGGGCCCGAACCCAGGGCTTCCTGCCTGCAGGGACGTGCTCTACCGAGGAGCCACATCCACAGCCTGCTGTGATGAGTTTAAAAAGAAAACTTCTGCACAAGAAAAATGAGTTTACAGTACAAATATACGTACATTATTTCTTTCTCGTCTCATCCTGCTCTGTTCCACATTACTGAAAAAGCGGCAGGTTCAGACACTGAACGACTGTCCTTCGGTCACGGTACGCTGCCGTCAGAACGTGAATGCACTGCTTTTTCTTCTTTAACACCAACTTTACTGCGCGGAAAATACTACAGGACATTTCAAGTTTAGAGCAGAAACCTGTTGCCCTTAATAAACCTAAGTTTAACACACTCTAGGGCCAGGGAGCAAGCAGGACAGAGGCCCTCCTCCTTCCTGGGCGGTGGAAGGAGACCGGCTACGTCTTCTCTTCCACAACGCCATTCTGGCTGCGTCATCCACAGACGCTCCTGGTTCCGCGATGCACTTTAGGAACGCTGCCTTCGAACACCAGGGCTAGGTCAGCGCACCAGCGCAGGTAAACGCCGCTCTCCCCACTAGGCCGTACCAAGGGGCGAGGCAGCGGGCGCGGCAGCGCGGTGGTCTGCAATCCCGGCACCCGGGAGGCTGAATCAGGACACGCTGGTCAAAGTAAAACAAGGTCTCGGGACGTAGTTCGGTGTGCAGTACCCGGGTTCACGCCTCGAGACCGCAAGCGAACAAGCAAAGCGACGGAAGCCCAACACTGCCCCGCGAGCTCCTGTTCTCGCGCGCACGGAGGCTTCACCCTCGCGGGAAGGCCGACGGCCCGCAGTTCCCCCAGGAGGCAGCGCCGCGCGCCGGGGCCCACGCCGGCCGCGCTCCACCGCGAGTGAGCGCGGTCTTCCCGCCCCACCGTGGGCCTCGCGCCCTGGCGAGGCTCCAATCCACGCTGCCCACAGGCACCGCGACTCTCCGCCGGTGCGTGGCAGAGCTGCGGCCGGAACGCGGACGACCGCGAAACGCTCCAGGCCGCCGCTGGAGGAAAGGCGACAAAAAGCCCCAGCGGCACCCGGCGCGGCCGGAGCAATCTGCGCACGCGCGGGGCGCACACGCCGGAAGTCGGTCTGCGGCGGCGACTTCCGGTCGCGCGCCGGAAGTGGCTCTTGAGCGCCACCGCCAGCTTTGCACGGAGAAAGGCGCCCTCGAGTTTGAGCGGGCAGCCGGGCACGGGGTACCCGGGCCGTGCTTCCACGCGCGTGTGCAACCCGAGATGGCGCACCCATCCCCAGAAGCTAAGCCCTCCAACCCTAGTAACCCCCGGGTCTTCTTCGACGTGGACGTCGGCGGGGAGCGCGGTGAGCGGAGGCGACGCCCGCGGGGGTCGCGGGGCTGGGCTCCGGCTGCGGGCTGCGGGCCGGA